TGCACATGTACACATAGTGATATTTTGCATGTTTGTGTATGCCTGTCTTGGTTCCGGATGATGTGTATGGCACATGACATTTCTAGTACTGCATTGAGTGTTGCAGTATACATTATTTTAAGTTTCCCTATCTGATATTGCCCCAATGGAATCACCAAAAGGCTTTTAAAACTGCAGTGTTGTTTCTGATGTTTTAAATAAAAGCATTTCAATATTTTAATGGAGCAGAGCTGCTGACTAAAAAACCCTTTAGGAAATGTTAATGTGCAGCATAAAGATTCATTTAAATCAGAGGTTCTCAAACTGTGCCAAAAAAGGATTATCCATGTGGTCTACATAAGGACTGCAGGATAAGTCAAGAAAATCTATACGTACATAGCCCTACAGTAGTTCTTCTTCTTTTTAAAAATATGTTTGTTTGACCTCAAAGAACAAAGTAGAGATGGTCATGAACTGCTGAAGCGGCAGCTTGTGCTGGTTCGTTTTTAGGGGTTCAGTGCTTCCCATCCCTGCAGGTTCTGGTGGACACCCAGCACCTGGAGGAGGTGGGTCAAGGAAGCCAAGGTGCTAACTCTGAGTAGGCACCTGATGGAGGAGGTGGGGCTGGGAAGTGCCAAACACCTGTTTAGCCAAAACCCAAACTGGTACAAATTACTGGTTCAGTGGTTTGTGCATATTTCTAGAGCAAAGCCAATTTTTGCCAGATTATTTGAATTGTTAGATAGGATTAAATAAAAACCCTAGTTTGGGGCATATAGCTTTCATTTAAAAAAAATCCAGGCTTTGATGGTGCTATTGCTGGAAAAGTATTAAAACAGGAGTTAGGTATCGTTTATGAGGGGGGGAAATTAATATTTAAATAGTTGACTGAGAGTTCCAGCAGTTTTTTCAACGGCCTGTGAACACATGCAATCTACAAGGAACTACTGTACACTGTATGCCTGCCTGAAATGAACAGGACCTGGTGGTATGTATTCATGGTGGAATGAGCCCAATGTCATTAATTTTGCATTCATGAAGTAACCTTGAATTTGTATTAATGAATTAACTTATATTAAACTATTTAACTATGATGTAAAGGAAAGCTCTTTAATGTTAACATGAAGTTTGAAACTTAAAGCCTAGTATTAGCATTCTTTGATTAATAAGCCAGCAAAGTCATTGCTCTGACAAGTCTCTGTTGACTGGATTATTACTTTCTTGGGAAAAGAGTTATTAAATTCAATTTTAAGACTCAGCCATGTTTTCATATTTTAGACCTTCATGTACAAAATCAATATTAATAGACTTTCTAAAATGATTCAAAGGTGGGTTTTTTTAAAAGTCAAATTATAAACAAATGCCCAACGTGTAGGCCTGAGAAAAAGCAATATTGCAGAGTTCATTAAAGTATAAAGTGTTTGTGTGTGTGTGTGTGTGTGAGAGAGAGAGAGAGAGAGAGAGAGAGAGAGAGAGAGAGAGAGAGAGAGAGAGATAAAGAACCTGCCTGTGAGACTTATTGAAATGGGAAAATGCTGCAGTTCATATAAAGACAGAACTGTACATTAAATTATGCTGAAATCCCCCTCCTTTTATTGAGTTCTATGCTCTTAAGCATTTGTCATAATATATACACCCCCCCTTCACGGATAGCTGCTTTCTCATGGCAAAGGGGCTGGAGTAACTCAGAGAAGTTATGGGCTATGTCGTGCAGGGACACCCAAGACGGACAGGTCATAGTGGAGAGTTCTGACTAAACGCAGTCCACCTGGAGCAGGAACTGTCAAGCCACTCCAGTATCTTTGCCAAGAAAACTCCATGGACAGAATCAAAAGGCTAAAAGATATGACACTGGAAGATGAGCCCCTCAGGACGGATGGCGACCAACATGCTATTGAGGAAGAGCGGAGCACAAGTACAAGTAGCTCCAGAGCTAATGAAGTGGTTGGGCCAAAGCCGAAAGGACACTCAGCTGCGGACACGCCTGGAAGTGAAAGGAAAGTCCGATGCTGCAAAGAAAAATACTGCATAAACCTGGAATGTAAGATCTATGAACCTTGGGAAGCTGGATGTGGTCAAACAAGAAATGGCACAAATAAACATTGACATCATGGGTGTCAGTGAACTAAAATGGATGGGAATGGGCGAATTCAATTCAGACGATTATCATATCTACTATTTTGGGCAAGAATCACGTAGAAGAAATGGAGTAGCCCTCATAGTCAACAAAAGAGTGGGAAAAGATGTAATGGGATATAATCTCAAAAATGATGGAATGATTTCAATACGAATCCAAGGCAGACCCTTCAACATCACAGTAATCCAAGTTTATGCACCAACCACCAATGCTGAGGAGACTGACACTGACCAATTCTATGAAGACTTACAACACCTTCTAGAACTGACATCAAAGAAAAATATTCTTGTCATTATAGGGGACTGGAATGCTAAAGTCAAGAGATAAAAAGAACAACGGGTAAGTTTGGCCTTGGAGTTCAAAATGAAGCAGGGCAAAGGCTAATAGAGTTTTTTCAAGAGAACCAGCTGGTCATCACAAACACTCTTTTCCAACAACACAAGAGGTGACTCTACACATGGAAATCACCAGTTGGGCAATACCGAAACCAGATTGAGTATCTTCTCTGCAGCCAAATATGAAGAAGCTATCTACAGTCAGCAAAAACAAGACCTGGAGCTGATTGTGGCTCTAATCATCAGCCTCTTATAGCAAAACTCAAGCTTGAACTGAAGAAAGTAGGAAAGAC